ATTTCAAATAAATATAAATATAACTGATAGAAATATGAATTATTAGACAATTTAGAATCTCGGAAATTTTCATCGTTCATCATCGCGAAAATCATGGGTCACATCTTTTTGCAAAGTGCTATAAAATACATTGTCTGCACATTTATACGACACCCATTTTGATATAATAAATTAGAACGTTACTTATACTTCATCTTAGTAATTGGATGTTATGCCGATTAACGATAATGTAGATTTCATTCTTTCATTATCATTTCATGTATGGTATAATATAATGTTATTGACTGGAAACTGGAACTCAGTCGGTTCCTTAGTCATTAAACTTTTGAACACCTTAATGTTAGTTAGTAATTTAACTTAATATAATATAGATATTATCATTTTAATAATGAAACATTGTTTATAAAACCGATTTGCTTAAAACTGCTTAGAAGCAATTACTCGTTTCGATATGATTTTTAAATTTTTTGCTACTAATCAAATTTGGGGACAATGAACCCAGTGATCATCTCATCATGTGAATGACGTCATTTGTTTACTAGCACTAACAGATTTGGCCTAAACTAAACTATCACATAACTCTAACACTAACCCTAACTTAGGCCGAGTGTTTAGTTATGTGATGTGATGATCACGAAGATATCTCTGGGTTCACTTCTTGAAACTACCCAGTTATTTGAAAGTCTATTTCATGTTACACGAAGCAGGCAACATCCCTAGGTGATATATTGCTTAAGAAAACATAGCTTAAATCATATCATTCAAAATAAAAATAATAATTTCGAACGAATTGTTCAATTTAATGCAACTAATTCTAATGAAACATGTATGTCGAGTTTGATAACATGGACAGTAGCGATAATAATTTGGAATAATTCGAAGAAAATATAATGCAGACGATTGCTAATGATGAATTACTTATAACGAAGCAATGATTGAATTTTCCATTCAAGCTACACATAAAAATCATGTGCCAATTTTTGAGAACTGGTTATCTTATGGAAAAATTAATAATATTTAATTGTATTCGTATTTGTAATTACGGCATAGCAAAGAATTTTTTTAAAAAAATAAATATTAAATTTGAAAGGCATCAACATTTGCAGCAACAATATCAATCAATAATTTATAACGTAACAACGAATTTTTTTTAAAATAAATATTAAGTTTGAAAATATTATATTTGATATAACGATAACGATAAAAATACAGAAATATGCAAGAACCGGTGTTACCATCCGAGTTGGGAGAGCGTCAGATAGGATAGTGCCAAGATAGTTCAAGGTGGTAGACGAATATCGGGTCATGGACACCTTTTATGAGAATTCTCTTTATTAGGAGAAGAGTTCAAAGGGCATACAGCTTCTACTTTACATGAAGGTCTTAGGCCTTCCTTAAATACATGCTATCGGATATACATATATGCGTATTCATACTAACAGATCTTGAATGAATACATTTTCATACTGATTAAATTATCTAACTTTAAATGGTAACACCGGGAAGAAATCACCGTGTGACCGATCCTGATTTGTTCCTGTTTAAACCTTGTGATCCACGAGGGTACGTAGAGGTTTAATTTGGGCCGAAAACTGTTAGGATCGGCATCTCTACACGAGGGCATTTCCCAATATTGTACGAAGTTAAAACATTGATCATCTATGAAGTCATTTCTCAATACGAAGTATACATTTTCAAGCTATTAACCATGAATTCATCTAAAAATTTATTTCAACAATGCCTGAATGAAGATCGAATTGGGTTTTATAAATATTCTGATTTCAAGGATATTAAGCTAATTGGAGAAGGAGGATATGGAAAAGTGTATCGTGCTACTCTTAAAATTAATGAAATTACTGTCGCATTAAAATCATTTAAAAATAATGTGGCTATTAAAGAAGTTGTTAATGAGGTATCCTACTTATTATTATCAATCGGTACAATCTTCTAACCATACAATAATAATGTTATTGATTCACTATGAAATATAATTTGCATAGCTTAAATTGCATAATAGAGTGGACATGCATTCTAATATTATACGCCTACATGGTGCTACTAAAAATGAAGGTAAAGTCACCAATTTAATTTCTAAGTCAAATTTTTAAATTTTTTTGATTTGAATTGATAGAATATATTAAATAACACATATATGATATTATTACGTATGTAATAGATGGAACAAATCCGGACTCTGTACATTACATGCTTGTTCTTGAATATGCCGATAGTGGAACTTTAAGATCATATTTAAATGATAATTTTACATACCTCTCTTGGAATGATAAGATCAATTTTGCGTTACAGATTGCCGGTGCAGTTAAATATTTGCATTTTAAAGATATAATACATCGTGATTTGGTAATTTTCAAACATAGCGTTTATGAAATTTATTTTTTCATTAAGTTTAAAATGTTTATAATTTTTTTTATAGAACTCAAAAAATATTCTAGTTCATCAAAAGTGTATAAAACTTTCAGACTTTGGAATTTCAAAGAGGTTAGATGAAACGACAACATCAAGTCGAAAATTTTGTGGAATTATTGCATATATGGACCCACGAAGTTTTGGAGGATCAAGAAACGAAAATAGAAATTTTAAATTTGACAAAAAATCTGATGTATATAGTGTTGGCGTTCTCATGTGGGAAATATCTAGTGGTTATCCACCTTTTAAAGATGATGTGGAGCAACATCAAATTGTGTCATTAATTCTAGATATTAAAGATGGTGTTCGAGAAAGGAACACCACCAGCATATACTAAGATCTACATGGGTATAAAACTACTTAACATTGTTGTATTTTTTTTTATCTTTGAAGAAAATCTGAGATAATTTTAATTTATGAATAGATTGCTGGCAACATGATCCTGATAGACGCCCAGATATTCGGCAAATTTTTTCAAGCCTAGAAGGTTTAAATACTGAAAATGAACAAGCTATAAATAGAATTGCTCAACATATTAATGCATTAAAAACTCATGAATCAATTCAAGAAATAAATCAGAATACTTTAGGATTAAGCATACAAGATACTTCCTCAACATTATTAAACTATGATTTAATGAGTGAATGTGAGAAAAGATTTTTAGAGCTAAATAAATTATTAGAAATCGCATTAAGTAGACATGGAAAAACTTATCTCCTAATAAGCGAATATGAAGAATCACTGGACAATTTAAATAAATCTTTAGAAATTGAACCGAATAATGCGGACATATTAAGAAGTCGGGGAATGATTTACTGTCTGATGGGTAGACATGAAGAATCGCTTACATGCTTAAATAGATCACTAGAAATCAATCCAAATAATGCATTTACACTATTTGTTCGTGGAGCAAATTATCGTTTAATAGGCAGATATAACAAATCATTTTCAGATTTAAATAAATCATTAAAAATAGAGGCAAATAATGCATTTGGATTAAGAGTTCGCGGAGAAACTTATTGCTTAGTAGGCAGATATGAAGAATCGCTTGCAGATTTGGATAAATCATTAGAAATTGAACAAAATAACGCGCAGACATTAAGACTTCGTGGAGAAACTTATCGCTTAATGCACAGATATGAAGAATCACTTACAGATTTAAATAGATCATTAGAAATTGAGCCAAATGATACAGACGCATTAAGAAATCGTGGAGAAACTTATCTCAGGATGAAGAGATATGAAGGGTCACTTGCAGATTTTAATAAATCATTAGAAATTGGACCAAATAATGCACGGGTATTAAAAAATCGTGGAGAAATATATTATCAATTAGAAAGATATGAAGAGTCACTTGCAGATTTAAATAAGTCATTAGAAATTGAACCAAATAATACAGACGCATTAAGTGTTCGTGGGGAAATTTATCGCATGATGAGAAGATATGAAGAATCACTTGCCGATTTAAACAAATCATTAGAAATTGAACCAAATAATGCACTTACATTAAGAAGACGTGGAGCTGCTTATTTCGATATAAACAGATATGAAGAATCACTTTCCGATTTAAGTAGCTCATTAGAAATTGAACCAAATCATGCGGAGGCATTAAGGTTCCGTGGAGAAACTTATCTCACGATGAATATATATAAGGAATCACTTAAGGATTTAAGTAACTTATTAGAAATTGAACCAAATAATGCGCAGGCATTAAAACTTCGTGGAACAGTTTATCTCATAATAGACAAATATGAAGAATCACTTGCAGATTTAAATAAATCATTAGAAATTGAACCGAATAATGCGTGCACATTAAGAAGTCGTGGAGAAACTTATCGTTTAATAGGCAGATATGAAGAATCACTTGCAGATTTAAATAAATCATT